TTAATTAATTCCGCCCGAGACGAGAAAGGGTTAAGTGGAAGAAGAAAGGTATTAACGTAAGTGTGGACGAGACGGTCTAGCGGTAAGGACGAAGGGTTGCAAGTGGTAGAGGCCAGGTTCGATTCCCGGTTGTGGCAAGAGCGTTTAATGTCGGGCGTCGTTGTTAATTAATTCCGCCCGAGACGAGAAAGGGTTAAGTGGAAGAAGAAAGGAGTTAACGTAAGTGTGGACGAGACGGTCTAGCGGTAAGGACGAAGGGTTGCAAGTGGTAGAGCCAGGTTCGATTCCCGGTTGGAGCAAGAGCGTTTTAATGTCGGGCGTCGTTGTTAATTAATTCCGCCCGAGACGAGAAAGGGTTAAGTGGAAGAAGAAAGGAGTTAACGTAAGTGTGGACGAGACGGTCTAGCGGTAAGGACGAAGGGTTGCAAGTGGTAGAGGCCAGGTTCGATTCCCGGTTGTGGCAAGAGCGTTTTAATGTCGGGCGTCGTTGTTAATTAATTCCGCCCGAGACGAGAAAGGGTTAAGTGGAAGAAGAAAGGAGTTAACGTAAGTGTGGACGAGACGGTCTAGCGGTAAGGACGAAGGGTTGCAAGTGGTAGATGCCAGGTTCGATTCCCGGTTGGAGCAAGAGCGTTTTAATGTCGGGCGTCGTTGTTAATTAATTCCGCCCGAGACGAGAAAGGGTTAAGTGGAAGAAGAAAGGAGTTAACGTAAGTGTGGACGAGACGGTCTAGCGGTAAGGACGAAGGGTTCCAATTGGTAGAGGCCAGGTTCGATTCCCGGTTGGATCGAATTAGAAATTTATTTTTCGAAAGAAATAAGTGAGGACAAGGTAGCCAAACAAACGTCTTGGGTTACCTGTGCGCTGGACACAGGTAGCCCAAGACAGGGTACAGGTAACCCAAGACATGGGTTTTTCTATTTTTGAAGATGTATACTAAGTGAGGACAAGGTGGCAAAACAAAGTGAGGACAAGGTGGCAAAACAAAGTGAGGACAAGGTGGCAAAACAAAGTGAGGACAAGGTGGCAAAACAAAGTGAGGACAAGGTGGCAAAACAAAGTGAGGACAAGGTGGCAAAACAAACGTCTTGGGTTACCTGTGCGCTGGACACAGGTAGCCCAAGACAGGGTACAGGTAACCCAAGACATGGGTTTTTCTATTTTTAAAAATGTGTACTAAGTGAGGACAAGGTAGAGGACTAAGTGAGGACAAGGTAGAAAAACAAATGTCTTGGGCGCCTACTGTTTCCCCGTTACGATCCGCACCAGTCGATCGTCTCATTGCAGGTACCTCTAGACCATTAGGACTATTGGTGAAATGGTTATGTTTTTTATTCTACTTAACTCATTTTCCCGTCTTATAATTAATCAACAACGACTTGTTGAGGCCCAAAATGCTTTTTGACTACAGCAGGATTCGAACCTATAGCTTCACGCACTTGCAACACTTTGTACATACCGCTAGACCATCTCGCCTACACTTGCTTTAACTTCTTTTTTATTCTACTTAACTCTTTCTCGTCTCGGGTGGAATTAATCAACAACGACGCCTGACATTAAAATGCTTTTTGACTACAGCAGGATTCGAACCTATAGCTTCACGCACTTGCAACACTTTGTACATACCGCTAGACCATCTCGCCTACACTTGCTTTAACTTCTTTTTTATTCTACTTAACTCTTTCTCGTCTCGGGTGGAATTAATCAACAACGACGCCTGACATTAAAATGCTTTTTGACTACAGCAGGATTCGAACCTATAGCTTCACGCACTTGCAACACTTTGTACATACCGCTAGACCATCTCGCCTACACTTGCTTTAACTTCTTTTTTATTCTACTTAACTCTTTCTCGTCTCGGGTGGAATTAATTAACAACACCACCTGAGATTAAAATGGTTTGGACAATAACAGGGATAGATCCTTAGTTCTCCCGCATGCAACACCAAGAGACGACCACTCGACTAGTAGATCTATTCAGTGCCAACAACTATATTTATTTCTACATAATATCTCATCACCAAATTATAGTTAAAAAAAATTAGTTGCCAAAAATTAAAGGTCTGAGCCTTAACTTTTTGGCACGCAAATATTGATGAAAGATTAAAGTCCTTAATATTTTCTTGATAGAAATTTAAGGCTCATGCAGCTTTACTTTAAGTGTCAAAAAATTGATGAAACTGCAAAGGGCAGACCACAGGCAACCATTGGTGAAGAAAGAGGGAAACACAGGAAATTTTTTAAAAATTCAAAAAGTGCCCCAAACCACTTCAAACTTTCTCAAAATTGTCGAAAAGCTTTTCTCATCAAAACAATCACTTTGGACTGATACAAAAATATTTTAAAAAATTTTCATCAAATGCAAATATTACGGTAGGCTCACTCTAACACCACACCAATTCTAAAAGTGCCCCAAAAAGGAAAACCACCTCTCAAAAACCATCTCTCTCATCAAAACGACCATGCAGGGGGGGGGGGGGAACCAGGCAATCCCAGGAAATGGAGAGGGGGGACCACACAGACAACCCAGGGCGAAGAAAGGGGGATCACAGCATTTTTTAAAAAAAATTCACAAAGTGCCTCCAAAAAGTTTTAAAATATTTGGATCAAATGCAAAGGGGAACACACAGCAACCCTGATGTCAACAAATAAGGTTTATACCCCTGCCCCTATACAGTAACATAAGGCACTCACCCCTATATCAGTGTAAGATAAGGTTTATATCCCTGCCCCTATGTATAACATAAGGCATTCACCCCTATATCAGAGTATATACCCCTGCCCCTATATGTAACAAGGTGTTCACCCCTATATCTGTCTAACATAAGGTTTATAGCCCTGCCCCTATATGTAACATAAGGCATTCACCCCTATATCAGTGTAAGATAAGGTTTATACCCCTGCCCCTATATGTAACATAAGGCGTTCACCCCTATATCAGTGTAAGATAAGGTTTGTACCCCTGCCCCAATGTGTAACATAAGGCATTCACCCCTATATCAGTGTAAGTTAAGGTTTATACCCCTGCCCCTATGTGTAACATAAGGCATTCACCCCTATATCACTGTAAGATAAGGTTTATACCCCTGCCCCTATATGTAACATAAGGCGTTAACCCCTATATCAGTGTAAGATAAGGTTTATACCCCTGCCACTATGTGTAACATATTAAGGCATTCACCCCTATATCAGTGTAAGATAAGGTTTGTACCCCTGCCCCTATGTGTAACATAAAGCATTCACCCCTATATCAATGTAACATAAGGTTATACCCCTGCCCCTATATGTAACATAAGGCGTTCACCGCTATATCAGTGTAACATAAGGTCTATACCCCTGCCCCTATATGTAACATAAGGCGTTCACCCCTATATCAGTGTAAGATAAGGTCTATACCCCTGCCCGTAAATGTAACATAAGGCGTTCACCCCTATATCAGTCTAACATAAGGTTTATACCCCTGCCCTATATGTAACATAAGGCATTCACCCCTATATCAGTGTAAGATAAGGTTTACACCCCTGCCCCTATATGTAACATATTAAGGCATTCACCCCTATATCAGTGTAAGATAAGGTTTATACCCCTGCACCTATATGTAACATAAGGCGTTCACCCCTATATCAGTGTAAGATAAGGTTTACACCCCTGCCCCTATGTGTAACATATTAAGGCATTCACCCCTATATCAGTGTAAGATAATGTTTATACCCCTGCCCCTATGTGTAACATATTAAGGCATTCACCCCTATATCAGTGTAAGATAAGGTTTATACCCCTGCCCCTATGTGTAACATATTAAGGCATTCACCCCTATATCAGTCTAACATAAGGTTTATACCCCTGCCCCTATGTGTAACATAAGGCATTCACCCCAATATCAGTCTAAGTTAAGGTTTATACCTCTGCTCCTATGTGTAACATAAGGCATTCACCCCTATATCAGTGTAACATAAGGTTTATACCCCCGCCCTAGCCTGCGAACAGGCTCTCAAGCTGAATTGAGAGCCTGCATCGACGACTAATGAATTTGAATATCTGCCCCGTAACGTTTGTTTCTCCAAATATGGAATGTTTATCCTTATATGGTGTTGTTTACAACTTTCGTGCAAACTAAATTTGGACCGTAAAGTTTATACTGTTTTTCGAAATATAAGATATACATTCCCCAAGCAAAAGTTCAAATGTTTTAAATACTGTTTTCTCAAAACAGAACATTTCGTGCTTTGAGATAAGACGGCCAAGACCAATTTGATCAGTTAATGTGTTTTTTATGCATAGTGCTTTCAGCAGTTAACATATATAGAGCTCAGCGGAAACATATAAATTATAGCATCTGACCAATGAGAATTTCGCGTCACGATTTGAGACGCAGATATTCAAATTCATTAGTCATCGATGCAGGCTCTCAATTCAGCTTGAGAGCCTGTTCGCAGGCTAACCCCCGCCCCTACGTGTAACATAAGGCATTCACCCCTATATCAGTGTAACATAAGGTTATACCCCTGTCCCTATATGTAACATAAGGCGTTCACCGCTATATCAGTGTAAGATAAGGTCTATACCCCTGCCCCTATATGTAACATAAGGCGTTCACCCCTATATCAGTCTAACATAAGGTTTATACCCCTGCCCCTATATGTAACATAAGGCGTTCACCTCTATATCAGTGTAAGATAAGGTTTACACCCCTGCCCCTATATGTAACATATTAAGGCATTCACCCCTATATCAGTGTAAGATAAGGTTTATACTCCTGCCCCTATATGTAACATAAGGCGTTCACCCCTATATCAGTGTAAGATAAGGTTTACACCCCTGCCCCTATGTGTAACATATTAAGGCATTCACCCCTATATATCAGTGTAAGATAAGGTTTATACCCCCGCCCCTATGTGTAACATAAGGCATTCACCCCTATACCAGTGTAACATAAGGTTATACCCCTGCCCCTATATGTAACATAAGGCGTTCACCTCTATATCAGTGTAAGATAAGGTTTACACCCCTGCCCCTATATGTAACATATTAAGGCATTCACCCCTATATCAGTGTAAGATAAGGTTTATACTCCTGCCCCTATATGTAACATAAGGCGTTCACCCCTATATCAGTGTAAGATAAGGTTTACACCCCTGCCCCTATGTGTAACATATTAAGGCATTCACCCCTATATCAGTCTAACATAAGGTTTATACCCCTGCCCCTATGTGTAACATAAGGCATTCACCCGTATATCAGTGTAACATATTAAAGCATTCACCCCTATATCAGTGTAAGATAAGGTTTATACCCCTGCCCCTATGTGTAACATATTAAGGCATTCACCCCTATATCAGTGTAACATAAGGTTTATACCCCCGCCCCTACGTGTAACATAAGGCATTCACCCCTATATCAGTGTAACATAAGGTTATACCCCTGTCCCTATATGTAACATAAGGCGTTCACCCCTATATCAGTGTAAGATATGGTCTATACCCCTGCCCGTATATGTAACATAAGGCGTTCACCCCTATATCAGTCTAACATAAGGTTTATACCCCTGCCCCTATGTGTAACATATTAAGGCATTCACCCCTATATATCAGTGTAAGATAAGGTTTATACCCCCGCCCCTATGTGTAACATAAGGCATTCACCCCTATATCAGTGTAACATAAGGTTATACCCCTGCCCCTATATGTAACATAAGGCATTTACCCCTATATCAGTGTAAGATAAGGTTTATATCCCTGCCCCTATGTGTAACATATTAAGGCATTCGCCCCTATATCAGTGTAAGATAAGGTTTATACCCGTGCCCCTATATGTAACATAAGGCATTCACCCCTATATCAGTGTAATATAAGGTTTATACCCCTGCCCCTATATGTAACATAAGGCGTTCACCCCTATATCAGTGTAAGATAAGGTTTATACCCCTGCCCCTATGTGTAACATAAGGCGTTCACCCCTATATCAGTGTAAGATAAGGTTTATACCCCTGCTACTATGTGTAACATAAGGCGTTCACCCCTATATCAGTGAAAGATAAGGTTTATACCCCTGCTCCTATGTGAAATATAAGGCGTTCACGCCTGCCCCTATATGCAACATAAGTTGTTCACCCCTATATCAGTGTAAGATAAGGTTTATACCCCTGCCCCTAAATGTAACATAAGGTGTTCACCCCTATATCAGTGTAAGATAAGGTTTATACCCCTGCCCCTATGTGTAACATAAGGCATTCACACCTATATCAGTGTAAGATAAAGTTTATACCCCTGCCCCTATGTGTAACATAAAGCGTTCACCCCTGTATCAGTGTAAGATAAGGTTTATACCCCTGCCCCTATGTGTAACATAAGGCATTCACCCCTGCCCCTACATGCAAGATAAGTTGTTCACCCCTATATCAGTGTAAGATAAGGTTTATACCCCTGCCCCTAAATGTAACATAAGTTGTTCACCCATATATCAGTGTAAGATAAGGTTTATACCCCTGTCCCTATGTGTAATATAAGGCGTTCACCCCTATATCAGTGTAAGATAAGGTTTATACCCCTGTCCCTATGTGTAATATAAGGCGTTCACCCCTATATCAGTGTAAGATAAGGTTTATACCCCTGCCCCTATATGCAACATAAGTTGTTTACCCATAAATCAGTGTAAGATAAGGTTTATACCCCTGCCTCTAAATGTAATGTAAGTTGTTCACCCCTATATCAGTGTAAGATAAGGTTTATACCCCTGCCCCTAAGTGTAACATAAGGCGTTCACCCCTATATCAGTGTAAGATAAGGTTTTACCCCTGCCCCTATGTGTAACATAAGTTGTTCACCCCTGCCCCTATATGCAACATAAGTTGTTCACCCCTATATAAATGTAAGATATGGTTTTTACCCCTGCCTCTATGTGTAACATATTAGGTTTTCACCCTTATATCAGTGTAAGATAAGGTTTATACCCCTGCCCCTAGGTGTAACATAAGGCGTTCACCCCTGCCCCTATATGACACATAAGGTGTCCACCCCTATATAAGTGTAAGATAAGGTTTTTACCCCTGCCCTTATATGTAACATGAGGTGTCTTACCCCTGCCCCTATATGAAACATAAGGTGTTCACCCCTATATCAGTGTAAGATAAGGTTTATACCCCTGCCCCTATGTGTAACATTAACATAAGGTGTTCATTAGAGCTGCTCCAGTCTATTAATTTCTGTAATCCTTGTCAACAATCGATTAATTAATATCGATTGTTGTCAGTGTTAAATTTTGGCTGACTGAACATAAAACATAATATTAAGCAAAATGAATGCAATGCTTGCATCAGAAGTTCTTATTCTATGTCCTATTCGAAATTGTGGGTTAGAATCAATGCGAGATTCCAGTCATAGACAAAATTATAGACCGAAATATTCATTTCGGATCAGATTGATAAAGTTTAGTTGTTTCGTAGTCACATTGGACTTCGATATCCGAAATAAAATGAGTTAATTATCCACGCATTATCACAAGAATTAATTATCCATGTAGGTGAATATAACAGCTTATTTTTCACCCTGCTCGGCTTCCTTTGTTCTTATCGGGGAATATATTCAATATTCCTCTCTAATCAATTTCCGTTTAAAAATAATCCATTCTAATATTCACCTGCAATTAATAATCCCCTCTAATATTCACCTGCAATGTCTTTGCAGCACAAAAAATGAGAAAAAAACAACATAACGAAGGTAATATAGCATTAAGATTTATTTCTATTCTGAATCATTAACTAAATCACATATGCCCTTGTTGCCTCAAAATAACCTATACTTAATACGTCAAAATTTGACCAATCAACATGTAGGATTTGTTATGGGACGTTTTCATCCCGCCCAAACAGGAAACTCTCCTAGTGTTTATATGATACATTGCCAGGGCGAAGCCATTTAAGTGCTTGACATCATATTTATGTTGCAATAAAGGCATTTACGCATGCTCAAAAGGGAAAAGTTCATCCCATCTAGCCTGCATCAAGTGTGTATTTGGGAATTTTTCGTCCCGCCTAGGTGGGATGAAGTGTTTATTTGGGAATTTTTCATCTTGCTTAGGCGGGATCCCGGCATCTGTTGCTGAGATTCCGTCTAGGCGGGATATGTGACGGGATCATATAAACACTTTAACTATTATGAGCAGGATCTCGGTAAGCATCTGACCCCGTCCCGTCTGGCTGGGATCATACGAACAGGCCCTAAAAGAGTACTGTATTAAAGGTTGCATGGAACAAAAAGTCCTATAAAGTGTATATGTGTATATACTAAAACTGTCTGTACCAGTGTGGGTAGTACTAATGTGAAATTGCTGTGCTGAGTGGTTATATTACTATCTGCTTGTTTTTTCAGGTAGTAATGTGGCCACTTAGCGCAGTACGTGTATTATATGTCTAAAACGTTTATTAGAATTTCAATTTTTTAGTACTACAGTACCAAGTTACGAACAGAAACTAGCTATAAATTATTTACTCAATTCATTTATATATTTTGGGTTTCCTCAAAACACCCATGCATTCATACAAACTATACTCTATAAGAATATGTACAATGAAAGTATCAAGTATGTATTTGCTTCATAATAAAATGCTTGTTGTCAGTAATATTTGTCTGCTTGTTGTCGGTACGGGTTGTTGCCGTGATATAAACACTTTAATTGGTTTTTTTTTAATTTTATGTTCTTGCAAAGCTCGATTGTTGTATCTTGATCATTTATATTTATACTGTAGAAGCATGAAAATATATTAAATATTTGTCGAATAAAGTTCGATATTTTAAATACCGAAATGTATTACAAAGGCTTTGTTTTAATACATACAGATTGACGCAGTGAAAACAACTTAAAAAACTTACCATTAAGACAGGCAGTTCTTTCATTCAAGCGTTGTCTCTTTGTCCATGGTCGAATTTCCAGTACAGCGATGTAGCGAAATTTCAACATAAACTGCACATATTTTTCTCTTTACCACAGAATCGTTTTCCCTGTCCATTAAGTTATAATTTCCAAAACTAACCAGTTGTTATAACGTAAAATGAGCGGGTATTTGTGAACAAAAATGCCCTTTGAATCACACGAAGTAAACCGGCGCCATCTTGTCTTCTCCAAACATTACAAATTTCCCGCCAAAAATTATCTTTTGTTGTTGCTGTGGCAACCACAATCAAAATGGCTACTAATTTCCATAACTGAGCAAGTGCATTGTTAGCCTGCGGTGCAGACGCTGCTTTGTATTTCATAATGAAAGGGTTTAAGCTTAAACCCTTTTAATTCATGTAACTGGCATAATTCTCAATTTTAATCAAGAGATAGACCCAAAATGCAATGCACAAATACCCAAAATGCAATGCGCGCAGCTAATATGAAAAATAATCGAACATCTACCTTTATAACTTTTGCCATGAACTTGCCATAAATTTTTGTCATATTTCAATTATGTACATTTTAGTAAAAAAGATAATTAACGAGTAAGCGATGTAGCAACATTACGTCCAGGGAAAGTTTGGCATCAGTGGCGGCGCCAGGCCTCCGAATTTGGGGGCATTTCAGGGGCAAACTCATATTTTGGGGGGCAAGATAGAATTTTTAAAAAGGTCGCCCCTGGAGATTCGCCCCCCCCCTCAAAAGGGGTGCGATATTCCTAGGAATATCGCCCCCGGGGCGAATATCCTAGGAATATCGCCCCTCTTTAGGATATTCGCCCCCCCCATATATGCGAAATGGTTTATTCAAATAATTTCGTGATACTTTCATCTTATTAGTGCCTTACACATTTGAGAATTTAACTCTGCAAAACTAAAGCTTTTTTGTCTTCTTTGAAACGTATTATTGGAGTATTTTTCCATTCAGAGATTTACAAACTAATATTGAAACTGTAAAAACAGTTTCATGTATACGCGCATTCACTAATGAGTAATGACAACTTATAAGCCATACATTTTCCGATAACGACAAAACGCTTGTGTAGCTTTTAGTCGCTTTTAGTGACTAGCAATTTTTTTTGCGGGGGGGGGGCAAAATGGGGGGGGAATAATTTGGGGGGCATTTGCCCCCCCTGGCGCCGCCACTGTTTGGCATATACTATATACACTAGTTTATACTTAGCCTGTGAGAGAATTTACGGCTGTACACAGGCTAGTTTATACTAGGTATTTTATGCATGGTTTAATTTAGTATTAAGGAATTTGTCGTTTTACTGTGTCAAGTCCGAGTCAAATCCGAGCCCGAGTCAAATGTCCGGAGTCAAATGTCCGAGTCACTAGCTGTTTAGCGGTCTTTGTAGTTCATTGACGTAGCAACCGAGGGCGCTGGGGGGCTGCAACCCCTCCCCAATAATTTGCTAATAATCATTCTTTTTCCAAAATCATGCAGACCTTTATCATTTAAATAATAAACCTTTAAAATAGTGACAATTGATTAATTTTAAGCAGCTACATTATCCCCATGACAAACTGCAAAGAAGGCCCTCGCTTTCAGCTCCCCAATCGAAAAGAGCTTCCCACGGCACTGTAACCCTAACCCTACTCTCAACCCTATACTCCTAACCGATTTTACTCGTCAATGGGGAAGCTCTGCTAGGCATGTCCCGATTGTGCTCGGCAACTTTTGAGCAACTTTTTGCGTTTGGAGCAACTTTTTTCGGCTCGAGCAACTTGAAGCAACTTTTTCCTTTTTGAGCAACTTTTTACTACACTCTTAGTAGCGAAAAATGGTATGACCCCCAGCTTTAGCCTCTTTGGCGCTCTGCATGCGCTTAATGGGTTAACCAAAAAATCTGACAATGTCTCTAGTTAACCCATTGCACCCCAGTACTTATTTTTGTACTTGTTTAACGCCAGATGATTTTACTCGTCAACAGGAAACTCTGCAGCTTAATGGGTTAAATAGGCATGCATATTAATTGTTGAAAGCACAAATAAATGAAAGATCTGATGCCAGCAAGTTTAAAGAGCTCATTTCTATACAGTACTGTACA